CCTCTGTATCAATTTTCTTACCCGAAGGGCCTAAGCATACAATAAAAACAATTAGATCAGTAATTAAGTAAAATCAATATTTGTTATAAATACTTCAAGTAAAACTACTTTTCAAGGGAATTTTTTTACAGTTAACTTTGTTAAGCTAAAATTCAAATAATAATTTAAATAACATAAGAGCACGATTATTCAATAAACATCATAAAATACTATTAGATTTAAATTCCATAATTCAACATAATATTTCTATAATTTTTATTTAAATATTCTAAATTAAAATTTCTAACACCCTTAAATAATTACAGTATAAATTATACTGTATATCAATGACTCGTTTTATAACTTTAGTATTTTTTTATTAATAATTAACTATTTATTACTAATTAATAATTGTTTACTCTATATACGGTAGTACATACTTAAATATGCACTAAAATTTCTATTAATATATTGTATTATGATTATACTGAAGATCAAACAAACTTTTCTCGTATATGTGTTAATGATTTAAAAGTATTTATGAAATTATAGGTCGAGTATAGGGCGAGAAGGGAGTACTCACTCGTGACAACAACTTTACATTCAGAGCACTCGTCGTTTCTATTCTCGACCGTGAATTCAACCCCTTTTCCCAACGATGCCATTCTCAGTGTCTGACCCGATATTATGGATTGAGTGCTGTCCACCACTTTCACTAAATATGGACTTCCTGTTTGATAATAACAAACTTATATAGACTTCGGGTAATTGTTTAGACATAGTGTCGAAATTATAGGAACTCATACCTGGAACGGGTTCTCCATTGAATTTAACGCTCAACACATGAGTGCTCGGCTCAGTTGGCTTGAAATTGACCCTAAATTTGGCGTTTCCTTCTGACTGAACATAATTGGGAACATTTCTTCCGTTCGCCGAAACGATTATTTCCAGATTACCCGCACCGGCAGCACTCGCGTCGACTATATATGTAATTTTTTTAAACACAAATTTGATTTATAGATAAGCAAGGTATTTCTTACTTGAAAAATAAATAGGCTTTCCAACTGTTCCGCTCGTGATTTCCGAAATGCGGACATTTTTCGAATCGTATGCTTTCACTAGGAATGGACAGTTAGGCACTGAAGAACCACCAACTTTCACATCAATGGCGTGATCGCCCACTTCTGTTGGCGTGAATTCAATTTTAAATTGAATTCACGCCAACAGAAGTGGGCGATCACGCCATTGATGTGAAAGTTGGTGGTTCTTCAGTGCCTAACTGTCCATTCCTAGTGAAAGCATACGATTCGAAAAATGTCCGCATTTCGGAAATAACGAGCGGAACAGTTGGAAAGCCTATTTATTTTTCAAGTAAGAAATACCTTGCTTATTTATAAATGAAATTTGTGTTTAAAAAAAATTACATATATAGTCGACGCGAGTGCTGCGGGTGCGGGTAATCTGGAAATAATCGTTTCGGCGAACGGAAGGAATGTTCCCAATTATGTTCAGTCAGAAGGAAACGCCAAATTTAGGGTCAATTTCAAGCCAACTGAGCCGAGCACTCATGTGTTGAGCGTTAAATTCAATGGAGAGCCCGTCCCAGGTATGAGTTCCTATAATTTCGACACTATCTCTAAACGATTACCCGAAGTCTATATAAGTTTGTTATTATCAAACAGGAAGTCCATATTTAGTGAAAGTGGTGGACAGCACTCAATCCATAATATCGGGTCAGACACTGAGAATGGCATCGTTGGGAAAAGGGGTTGAATTCACGGTCGAGAATAGGAACGACGAGTGCTCTGAATGTAAAGTTGTTGTCACGAGTGAGTACTCCCTTCTCGCCCTATACTCGACCTATAATTTCATAAATACTTTTAAATCATTAACACATATACGATAAAAGTTTGTTTGATCTTCAGTATAATCATAATACAATATATTAATAGAAATTTTAGGCATATTTAAGTATATACTATATAGAGTAAACAATTATTAATTAGTAATAAATAATTAATTATTAATAAAAAAAATACTAAAGTTATAAAACGAGTCATTGATAATTATACAGTATAATTTATACTGATTAGAAATTTAGAAATTTTAATTTAGAATATTTAAATAAAAATTATAGAAATATTATGTTGAGTTATAGAATTTAAATCTAATAGTATTTTATGATGTTTATTGAATAATCGTGCTCTTATGTTATTTAAATTATTATTTGAATTTTAGCTTAACAAAGTTAACTATAAAAAAAATTCCCTTGAAAAGTAGTTTTACTTGAAGTATTTATAACAAATATTGATTTTACTTAATTACTGATCTAATTGTTTTTATTGTATGCTTAGGCCCTTCGGGTAAGAAAATTGATACAGAGGTGAGCCCACAGACCAATGGATTTCTGGTTCAATTTAAACCCTTTGAAGTCGGTATGTGTTAAAAGTTTTCTTGATTTAGAATGAAAATATAAATGTTAACAAACAATTGGCATATAATAGGACCCCATCAGGTGCTCGTACTTTTGGATGGGGTGACAGTTGCCGGCTCTCCATTCAGTTGCAATATATATGATGTGAATAAAGTGAATATATCTGGTTTTAATTCATGTTGTGTTGGGAAGCCAATGACATTCCAGGGTATAAATGGGAGCAAACTATTAATTAAAGTATTGCTTAATTAATCGTTTGAATGGTTTTTTAGTCGACGCCTCACAAGCAGGAGAGGGAACACTAGAACTGGTGGTCACGACTCGCAAGTCTTCAGTCAGAGCTGAAGTGCTGATGAAAAGCAGAGGTCTATATAACGTGACATTTATTCCCCAAGAGATTGTTTCGCACTATATTAACATCACTTTCAATGAGGAGGACGTTCCCGGTTTGTCGCCTTTTATCAGTCATTATTCATTCAATCATTGATAATATTATTCACTCAAATAGGAAGTCCATTCAAAATTGAAGTTTTAGATGATATTAAAGATGCAATGAATGGCAATACAAATACTAATACTAAATCTGAAGAGAAGAGAATGAATGGAGGATTAGTCGGAGTTTTAAATACTCTGGAATTTGATGGAACCAATTGTGACGATAAGATTGAAGCCATAGTCACTGGTATTACAAATGATTATAATTTAGAGATTTGTTACTAAATAGAATGAATGGAGGATTAGTCGGAGTTTTAAATACTCTGGAATTTGATGGAACCAATTGTGACGATAAGATTGAAGCCATAGTCACTGGTATTACAAATGATTATAATTTAGAGATTTGTTACTAAAGATTTGTATGACTTTGAAGGCCCTCAACAAACAATTCTTGCGGCCACTGCTCTCAAGACAGGAGACAATAAAATAAGATTAGAGTACAAACCACAGGAGATAGGAATGCATAAAATAGAGATATTCAGCGATTCAAAGCCTGTCCTCAAGAAACCATTCTTTATCGGAGTTTGTGATCCAAATAGAGTTAAGATAAATGACTTAAACGACGGCGTCGTTGGTAGAGAACAACAGTTCAAAAGTAACTATAACTCCATTGAATACTGAATTATATTTTAATAACTAATTTATTAAAAAATAGTCGATTCCTCGCGGGCCGGACGAGGAGTTCTTAGCGTTAGTATTCTTTGCGGAGAAAAGGAAATCCCTTTCAACATCAAAGAGTTGGCTTCGGCAGTATATATGGTGTCATTTGTACCCCGAATTGATTTGTCTCATAAAATCGATATTCAATATAACGGCCATTCAGTGCCAGGATTTCCACAAACCATAACAATTCGAGATCCGTCCCAATCGATTATAGTTCACGGGAACGGTATTAAGCGATCCATACCAGGAGAGAGCAGTACATTCATCATAGAAACGGGTGGCTTTGCGTCGGCTAAAGACTTTGATATAATAGTGACGGATCCTAACGGGTCGCCACTTCCAGTTAAGTGCTATCAACAGAAAAACGGCAGTCTTTTAGTTGAATGGAATCCAATGCAAACCGGTATTTGATAAATTGATTTTGAAAACTTTTGAAAACTTTTGAAACTTGCTAACCATTGATGTATGGCTTGTGTCAGGTCATCATAAGGTAGATGTGTTGCATTTGGACAAACCAGTGATGGGATCGCCCTTCAAATGTGATGCATTCGATGCCTCGAAAGTAAAACTCGAGAAAATCAAACTCAATAATTTAATTGTCAACAAAAAAGTCGTATTCTCTCGTAAGTGCCAACATATTCAGCAGTTTATAAATAAATTATTAATTCAATAACATCTTTGATAAAAGTAATGCGACAAGAGGCCGGTTATGCTGAGTTGGACGTCACTGTCACCAGTCCTTTGGGCAGACATTTGCCAATTGAAGTGAAGAGTATGACTGAAGGCGAGGGAGAACTGATTGAATTTGTGCCAACCGTTGCGGGCAAATACAAAATAGCCATAACTTATGGAGGCATTGAAGTGCCCAACAGTCCCATCACATTCATAGCACAGGAGGGACTGTCGCCCAAAGTAGAAGGGAATGGTCTGCACAACGGTATAGTGAACGAACCGACCACTTTCACGGTGGACGCCTCAGGTATTTATGGCGAGCCTGAGGTCAGAGTGGACGGTCCGGACAGTGAGGCCGCCTGTAATATAGAGAAGGAAAACGATATATTTCACGTGACATACGTTCCCCTCGAGATCGGGGTTTTTGATGTCAGAGTCTTGTGGAATGGACGAGATATTCCCGGTTTGTAACATTGATTTTACTTTTAAAAAATTATTTTTCATTCATATTTATTAAACAAACAGAAAGTCCATTCCATCCAAGAATAGTAAACCTTCAAAAGGTTCGAGTAATCGGCGGATGGGATAATGTTTTAGATAAAGACAATCAGATTTCTCTTTGTGTCGGCGAAGAGAAAAGAATATCATTTGATATAAGCGAAGGCGGCCCCGGTATGTCTTCATTATATGTCATGATATTACTGTTTTTCAATCATATGTTCATTACTTTAAAGGAAAACTGAGCGCTAAGTTAAAGAATCCGGACTCAAGTATTGATGACTTACCTGTTGAACAAACGGGAGGCCATAAGTTTAGAATATGCTTTCGACCCAAATCTGAAGGTTAATCAAGAATCCCTTTTTGAAACAGAATTTCATTTATTAATCTTATATATCGTTTCATAAATTGTTTTATCATTTAAGGCGAATTCCAAATATTCATATACTTCTCGGACTTATTATTACCACAAACTCCCATTCAGGCCATTGTTAGTGACAACTCTCAAACCTCAGAGTGTGCTACAGTTGTGCTCAGAGGACATGGATTAGCCGGTGCTCGAGTGGGCGAAGAGTCAGAATTTACAATCGATGGAACAGATGCTGGCAATGGACAGCCAGAGGTGACACTGACTGGTGTTAAAGCGGATATTCCTGTAAAAGTGGCCCAAATAAGTGCTAAAGTGTTCAAGGCTATTTATATGCCATCAATTCAAGGTATTATGAAAATCTAAATAATTAGAAATGAATTTCAATGAATTGATAAACTATAACCATATTATAATTGATAGGAACATACCTATTGAATGTAATTTGGGGACAAAAGCAAGTCAAGGGATGTCCACTAAAAGTGTCAATCCTTCCGAGTTGTGACGCAAAACGAGTCATTTGTTCCGGTGATGGTCTGAAAGGCGGTTCAATTGGAAAGGAAATCAAAGCATTTATAGACACACGACGTGCCGGTCCAGGTTTGCACACAATTAATCACTTCAAACCAATGGATTATTAATGATTATTCATTCATCAGGTGAACTCACAGCTCATTGTGTGGGCGCACATAAAATCGCGTATTGCGAGCTATACGACCAAATGGACGGTACGTTTACCCTACTTATTAAACCACAAGAAGGTGGTAAACATGTCTTAACAATTAAATATGGTGGCGAACACATCTCAGGTATTTGAACTGATTTTGATTTATTTGATAAAATTTTCATGTAATATTTCTGTGGATATAGACTCTCCGTTCACATTACGGATTGCTGGGGCACCGGACGCTTCTAAGGTGCGAGTTATCGGTCCGGGTATTGAACACGGAGTCCTACCTCTCTATCAAAGTAGGTTCATATGCGACACCAGAGGAGCCGGTGCCGGTCAGCTCACTGTTAGGATTCGTGGACCAAAAGGTATTTAATAAAACTTTTTATTTATATATTCAATATTATGATAATTTTGTGAATTATAGGCGCTTTCAGAGTAGAAATGCAAAGAGAGAGTCAAAAAGACAGAACCATTCTTTGCAAATACGATCCGACAGAACCGGGAGATTATAGGATCGAAGTCAAGTGGTCTGGAGAGCACGTCCCGGGATCACCATTTGTGGTCATGATTTTTGATACCCAGGATGAGTTGACCCGGTATATAATGGGACACTACGGCACTGCCAGCGGTGCCTCTTCTCTGCCACCACTCAATGCCATCGAATGTCTCAATAATGGTATGTCTTATGGAACCAGTTTTGGAAGAATGTCTTGGAGGGGATCTACGGCTGAACTTTAAATTTTACATTCAATACTTAAATACTTAATTTACAACAATTTATTGTTATTTAAAATTTTGTATATTTTTACATTATTTGAAGCATTATTTTACATTATTTGCAACCTTAACACACAATTCATTCATTATTTCACAAATAACTCATTGAAAAAAGTGTCAAAATATATTTTTATATAAAAATCTGTTGGTTTTAAACTTTTTATACTAAAGCATTAATGAACTAAAATACAAATTTGATTTAATTTAAAATTTATTGAAATCTGTTTTATGAAAATAAAAGTTTTATTTGTCTATAATTTTATTTAAAATATTCAAATTTTTTCGAGCGCTCTCTAAATTTGGATCTATTTTTAAAGCCATTTCATAATTACTTAATGCTTTTGGATAGTCTTTCCACCGATGATAAAGAACTCCTAAATTTGCAAAATAGTTGGCTTTTTGAGGGCTCAAAGCGATAGCTTTTTCAAAGTGTATTTCCGATTCATTAAACTTTCCCATTTTGCCCAAAACATTAGCAACATTAAAATGTAATGAACTCTCGTTTGAATGGTATTCAAGTGCTTCTAATGCTATCAAATAAGCGCTTTCATAGCGTCCGGTGTTGTCTAACATTAGGATAAGATTATTAAATGCAGACAACAGTTTAGGCTTCAGTTGTGTGGCATTTCTCCACACTCTATACGCGTCGTCAAAGCGTTTCTGTTTCACATACTGTCAGACAAATTAAGTCAATAAACATAAAGTTTTAAACAATTTACGGTAAGGATTTTTGAATCAATGAACAAAATTACCAAATTTCCTAAATTATAATAGCAATCGGCGTATCGAGTCCTATGTTTAATGGCATTCAAGTAACTAATCTCTGCCTCCTTATACTGTTTGAGTGCCATTTCCACTATTCCTAGTTTTCATTAGCGTTTTGAAATTATTAATTCATTAGCGATTGTTTGTAAAAAATGTCAAATGTCATTTGAATACATACCAAGATTCATCCAGGCAGCGGCAAATGTGGGCCGTATTTTTACAGCACTTATAAGTAATTGTTTGGATTCTTCTAAATTTCCGGAATCTTTGAGAAGATTTCCTAAGTTATTGAACGCGTGTTCATAGTCTGGGTTCAAACGAATCGCTTCTCTATATTCATTGATAGCTTTGTCTTTAAAGCCAAAATCGGCCGCATTTTTGGCGATATTATAGTGAACTTTTGCATTCAACTATTCATTATAAAATGTATATAAATTTATTTACTAAAAAATTAAACATAAATATCTAACCGGACAGACGTCTAGACCTGATTCAAAGAGTCTCTTCTCATTAATCCAATCAAAGTTGCGCTGAAATTAAATTATAAAATAGTTTAATTGCTAACAAAATGAAACAAAACTATAGGATAAGAGAATAACTTAGTAGATGCTATTGCTCATTTGTGTATTTATGGTATTTGAAAACTTACTCGAAATGTACGAATTGAAAATATGATGATTAAGAAAGTGATAATTATGTGAAAAATCTATGAATTAAAACAAGAAAAGAATTGAAAACTCAATTTGTTAAAAATAAAAATTCAATAATACTATAGTAACTCATGATTGATAAATGTTATGAAATATAGACAATTATACCCTGGAATATGAAACGAATCGCTTCTCTAATAACTGAAATCCACTTATTATGAGCAGAAGATATCCAATGCTACGCGTGTTCATAGTCTGGGTTCAAACGAATCGCTTCTCTATATTCATTGATAGCTTTGTCTTTAAAGCCAAAATCGGCCGCATTTTTGGCGATATTATAGTGAACTTTTGCATTCAACTATTCATTTATAAAATGTATATAAATTTATTTACTAAAAAAATTAAACATAAATATCTAACCGGACAGACGTCTAGACCTGATTCAAAGAGTCTCTTCTCATTAATCCAATCAAAGTTGCGCTGAAATTAAATTATAAAATAGTTTAATTGCTAACAAAATTAAACAAAATTATAGGATAAGAGAATAACTTAGTAGATGCTCATGCTCATTTGTGTATTTATGGTATTTGAAAACTTACTCGAAATGTACGAATTGAAAATATGATGATTAAGAAAGTCATAATTATGTGGAAAATCTGTGAATTAAAACAAGAAAAGAATTGAAAACTCAATTTGTTAAAAATACAAATTAAATAATACTATAGTAACTCATGATTGATAAATGTTATGAAATATAGACAATTATACCCTGGAATATGAAACGAATCGCTTCTCTAATAACTGAAATCCACTTATTATGAGCAGAAGATATCCAATGCTGGGGAGGAATAGAGCTCTTTCTGCCACAACAAACCCAACGCTGAAGAATATATTAGAAGATGGCACGAATGACACGCAACCAAATGCTATTGATATTTGCAATTGACTTTTGTTTGAATAAAAAGTTAAAATGTTATCATTTATAAATATTGTACAAAATGTCAAATCGATAACAATTACCGGCGAATATTGCAATTGTTGTGACAAACAGATGACTTCAACACCAGAAGTAAAGTAATCCAAAGAATGGCAATAAATATAATTCGCAAATCAAGCAAACTTTGAATGAGAGGTATGCATGTCATGGACCAGTCAAAGCATAACCAATCCGGGTATAACAGAATCCACGCATTTATGGCATAAATATAATTAAAATTAATAATTCGTAAATATAGTGATTCTTGAAATGATGACGGATTGTCTCCTCTTTGGAAATGAGGTCCTTTAAAGTCCATTATTACTATTCTCGATACAAGTAATACAAAAGTGCCTAAACTCAAGAATATTGTGCGATATAATAGCAATTTGTAGTCAATATGGCATTTGCGGTCAAATAACAGAATTATGTCCAGTATTACACATAAACCCTATTCATAGAAACCAATACTTTAGTCATTACAGAGATTGTGATAAATGTAAAAAACAAACTATTAATGTGATTCCTTGCTCCTTCAAAAGCATTGCAATTGCTGACAAACTTATTATTAAAAGACAATTCAATATAAATGACACTGAAATTGAATCATAAGAGCAATTAGTGATAATGAATAAAAGTTATTTGATAATCTCATTACAATTGAAATGACTTAAACTATTCGTGAATTGAATGTAAACCAAAAGCGAAGTCAATGCCACCAATGATGACATGAGATCAGCCAAACCAACACAAGCGCACACCTGAGACACAGACATATGATAGGAGACAATGACTACCGAAGACATTGAATGACTGAATGGTGAATATCTTACACTTTCTGAATGGATGGGATGACAAGTGAATAAAATAGTGGTGAGAAATGCAGATCTTTGGTTAGTGTCTAAAACTGGTGTTTGATCCATACTTTGTTTGTGAGCGCAGAAAGTGTTTAAAAGTTTGTTTAACACATCAAACAGAAAGCAATTGTTCATTGCATAGAAAATAAGGTTTGATAAGTGATATAAATAGGGGTTCAGTTGACTCTCAGTCATGGGATCAGTTGTTGTATGAATTAATTCATTCAAATGTCTAATCAATCGGAAGGTGAGGACAGTGAGGGGTCGGAAGGACTTGTGACTGGAATTGTGTGCCATTTTCGTGCCCCAGAAGTCATTGACAAACACTTCACTGACAGTTGTGTCACTCATCACATCCTTGTTGTTGAGGATGGCTTCGGTGTCGTCGAAGACAAACTCAGCCAACAGTGACACCCAATAACAGGCCATTGATGCCAAACATATCACTAGATTCTTGTGTCTCAATAAAGTCTCAAAGTTTGTCATATTTGACAACTTGTGGCACATATTCGTCACTTAACAGTGATTGACATGTATTAACAGCACACCTGTGCTCATGAATGTCCACTCATTCATATAAATGTTGAAAGTTTTGCAAACTTTTTCAAACTGTAACCACAAATCAAACATTGAATGCAATTCAGTATGAAATTGTGTCTTATATTTGATGTGCGATCTATGAGTTGTGTTCATTCAATCAATGTATGAAAGTATCATGCTTATTTGGTCTCATGTAGTATCGTAGGTGCAGGGTCAATGGAACAATGACCAGTGACCATGGTCAGATGAGGCCAAAGAGGCAATAGCAGTGCTCTAGTGAATAGTGTATCGTATTGTGGCTGTGTTTGGGCGCAAGAGTACAGTGAATGAGTGAATGAATGAATGAATGCATTCAATGATTGGTCCCATCATTGGAGTCAAAGTGCGGAAGCATTTCATAGACACCGGTATGAAGTGCTGTAATGGCCTATGAATGCCATACAGACACCAATTACGGCTTATATTC